CCTGTTTTTAGTTGGGGGAAAAATACGTCTTTCCTGTGACTTGAGCATAGCACTTCTCTCTCTTACCCCGATCCCAAGAGGAAGGGAACTCATAGTTCAATGTAAAGCCGACTTTGTTGTTTTGCAGTAAATAATGGATTACTAATGGTTTCAGAAGTGTTTGTTCTCACTCTAAAAGAGCGATGGAAACCTGAGGCTAAGTTAGTCTGAAAACACTTTGCGTAACATGGATTTCTTTTTTTTCTTCTTTCTTTCTTTTAAAAGGTAGTTACAAAATTTGCCTTGAGTCAAAACTGAACTCCTGGTGCCCAGAGGCCCCTAAATATGTACTTTTTTTTTTTTTTTTTTTTGGTGGCACAATTATACAACTGTTTTGTCCTTGTTGTTTCTACCAAAGTTTTTCATCTTCCAAGTTTGGTCTACAACTCTGAGATGATTTCATCCATCGATTTGGCTGGTTTTCCTTTCGGGAACTAAGTTAGGTCTGGATCCTGCTAATCTTCCGAGCAAACGAGATGGACCAAGTATAGGGCATCCTCAATTTATGACGGTCTGTTTAGTGACCAAAGTCGCATTGCCACTGAAAAGAGGGTCTCTGTTGTGGCCCACTGGTGGCCAGCAGAGTCGGACAGTGAGGAGGTTGGGGAGGAACTTGGGTCAGTCCTGGGGGCTGGGGAAAACTCGGACGAGGGCTCTGCGTCGGAGGCAGGGAGGGAGTTAAGACAGCAGCGAGGCAGAGGCACAGCGGGAGCCCGTTCCAGTGTGTGCATGCGCAGAGCTGCCAGAAGACAAGAACAATTAAGAAAACAGGGTCAACTCAGGAGTAAGACCACACACCTTGGAGATGACTGGCTCCTCCCATAGGACATAAAAGAGGAGAAAACGGGATGTGGGCTTTTGCAGGAAGGAATTAGTTCATCTCGTTTCAAGATTGGAAAGTTCTGTTTGTGACTCGAATAGACTCTGTGCCAAGTTTGGCCTCGTTCTGCATTGGGAAATTGGTGCTCTGGCAGCGTTCCAAGGGAGATAAGGTTTGTGTCGATAAACACTCCTTTGAAAGACTGTTTGCCAAAGCCTTGTTGACTATGAATGAACGGAATTCACAATCGTGTTAATAAAAGAGATTTTACTGGGATTAAGACTTTTGCCTCATGCTGTCTAAGGAAGCCTAGGTCAGTACAGTCTCTTAGGACTGTGTTTCACCATTACGACGGTTGGCCATCCCCAAGGTTGCATGATCCAAAATCCAGACGCTTGAGAACTGATTTGTGTTCATGATGGCGGAACATCCGCGCTGCTAACGTAACAACTGCAGTGCTTCCCTTAACAACGGTGGCAACCAAGACGGGGCAAAAACTCGCTTCTCGCTCAGTAACGGAAAGTTTGGGCTCGACTACGGTCGTAAGTCGAGGACTGCTGCGGCCTCCCGGTTGAAAGGCGATCGATAGAACAAGGTGTAGCTCTTTCGCATTCCCTCGCACACAGAGATGTTAACGGGTGGAGTTTTGGTTTGCTGGCTGTTGCCCACGATCCGTTTATTCTTTTAAATTGACAGTAGTAGGGGAGCTGTAAAACTGAACTTCCCCAGGGAGGCAAAGTTTGGCTTTTAAACTGGATCTTAGCCTTTTGCACTGCGGAAAAGGAGAGATTGCTTCCATCTTAATCCCTGGAGGATGTTTGGTGCTGTTGTGATATTCTGGCGTGTTCTTATTCCTTTTTAGCTTTCGGTTTAGATTACGTGCTGCTCAGAGCGGGCCGGAATTAGAACTGCAGTACCGGGAACGCAAGGAAGGCATGCAATTCTGTAGCCAGCAAATTAATCTGGCTGCTTTTTAAATACATATATATATATATATATATATTTGTATTTTTATTCTTTTTACAAATAAGGTGGCGGATATAACCAACTCGCCTTCCTTGTCCTATTTTCCTCACAACCACCCTGTGAGATGCATTGAGAGGAGAGAGTGGGGGACGGGCTCAAAGTCACCCAGCTGGCTTTCATGCCTAAGGCAGGACTAGAACTCACTGTCTCCTAGAGTTTGGCCCAAAGTCACCCTGTTGACTTTCATGGTTAAGGTAGGACTAGAACTCCCAATCTCCTGATGATTGGCCCAAAGTCAGCCAGCTGGCTTTCATGCCTAAACCAGAACTAGAACTCCTAATCTCCTGGTGATTGATCCAAAGTCAGCCAGCTGGCTTTCATGCCTAAACCAGAACTAGAACTCCCAATCTCCTGGTGATTGGCCCAAAGTCAGCCAGCTGGCTTTCATGCCTAAGCCAGAACTAGAACTCCCAATCTCCTGGTGATTGATCCAAAGTCAGCCAACTGGCTTTCATGCTTAAGGAGGGACTAGAATTCACATTCTCCTGGTGTTTGGCCCAAAGTCAAACTCCCCAATTCCCATTTTCCCATTTTCTAGCCATTAACCATTGTACAAACCCTAACTTGCCATGCAAAGCAATTATTCTCAATTTTGTGTCTTTCTAATCTGTTTGGTGGGTGGTGGATAGAATAGCTCCTATAATTCCCAAGCAGAGTGGGCTCCTTCTTGTCCCATTCTCTTTTGCTAGGTTGGAGAGAAATTCTGGTTTTGGGGTTCTTTTCTAGTGAACAATATTGTGAGTTTTCTTTGTGCCGGATAAAATCAAGACTTGGCAATATCTCATGAACAAAGCGCACTTTGTAATCTGTATTACGGGGTGTCTCGTTGTTGTTGTTGTTTTAATCCATTGTCGTTTCCAACCAGCAACAATTTTTTCTCTGGTTCCTGACCTTTTCTCCATCTTGTTGCCGAATAACTATAATTATATAAGAGGAAAATTGTGGGTTCAAATCCCGAGTCAAGCTGACTTCAGGACCCTGGAGAGCAGCATTCCCTTGTGCTCTGTTGGAACCGCAATCCAATATTTTAATAAAAATGATCTTTAACATTATTGTCAGACCCGAATACTTAGAACCCTGAAAATTATAACATTTTATATGTTTTGGCTTTTAAAATCGTTCGCATTGCATTCTTTTGTTGGGTCTCTGAATGTCATGAAGATTTGATTGATTGATTGATTGATTCATGATAGCTTCTTAGCATAAATTATAATATAATCTCTATAGAGATGATGACACTTTTCTTGTCATGGGCCCATTCGTAATTGGGTTCTGTTTCTTGGTGACCTTCAACCAGTTTCGTTTCTTGAAATGATACAACCCACTTTTCAAGCATGCAAAATTTATTATTGGATAGCAAAGCCGCGAGGTTAGAAATGATGATTTTTTTGCAGCTGAATTGTATCCTGCAACATCTCTTTGGCTTGGAGAAAACCTTCTGTTTTCTCTGAGAAAGATAATCCTGGTTTTTTTTGTGTTTTTTTTTTTAACAAAAAACCTATTAAACAGTACATGTTAGTTTCCTGAACTCTTAAATGTAGAATTTGTTGCATCGTGTCTCTTTTTATAACAAGCATCAATTGAGGGCCAGGCCACCAATCTCAGTTTCTCCGTGTTACAATTACTCGGGCTTGTTTCTATATACTCACAGAAATGACCTTCTCCAAAAATAGCTTTTAATTTTTTAAGGTGAGAAAGCAAAACCATGAAACTGTACAAGGCAAACCCAGCTTAACATATTCACGTCATTTATCTCAGCCTGGGTTTAAACTGGATTTGAAGTGAAGTTTATAAATCTGGGACCCAGATTTGAGATTACAGATAGTCCTCAATTTACGGCCATAACTGAGCCTGAAATTACCGTTGCTAAGTGAGACAGATGTTAAGTGAGTTTTACTCCCTTTCTAGCCACAGTTGTCAAGTGAATCCCTACAGGTGTTAGGTTACTAACGCAGTTGTTAAGACTTTGCTTGTTAAGTTGGACTTTGCTTATCAGAAGATCACAAAAGGGGGAATCACGTGACCACGGGACATAGCAACCGTCATAAATAGGAATCAGTTGCCAAGCATCTGAATTCTGATCACATGACTGTGGGGATGCTGCAATGGTCATAAATATATCAATAAAGGAGAATCTTTGTAGCTCAGGGTTGAGTTGTTGGGGTCCTCGGTGCTCTCTGAGCTGGCTTGTTTTCTTGCAGACGTTTCATGACCCAGCTAGGTAACCTCATCAGTACTAGAAGGGAGGAGGGTTTGTGGGAGGAGGAGGAGAAGGAGACGGAGGAGGAGGAGAAGGAGAAGGAGGAGACGGAGGAGGAGAAGGAGAAGGAGATGGAGGAGGAGGAGAAGGAGAAGGAGAAGGAGGAGAAGGAGAAGGAGAAGGAGAAGGAGGAGAAGGACGAGGAGAAGGAGAAGGAGGAGAAGGACGAGGAGAAGGAGAAGGAGGAGGAGGAGGAGGAGAAGGAGACGGAGGAGAAGGAGAAGGAGAAGGAGGAGACGGAGGAGGAGGAGAAGGAGAAGGAGAAGGAGAAGGAGAAGAAGACGGAGGAGAAGGAGAAGGAGAAGGAGATTGTGGGGTCCTTGGTGATCTCTGAGCTTGGTTGTTTTTTTTTGCAAACGTTTCATGACCCAACTAGGTAACATCATCAGTGCTAGTAAGGAGTGTCAGTTTATATTCTGGTGTCTTTCCTGACTGTGTGGGTTGGGGCAGTTTTAGAGGTTCTTCAGTTGGGCTCTTTGGCAGTTTCTTGATTCAGATGTTGTTTACCTGTTTACTGTTGGTCTGATATTAACCTTGGAGTTAATCTACTCTGATTGTTGGGGGAGAGTTGCTGGAGTCTTTTTTCTCCTTCTCTTTTGGGCTGGTTGATTGTCTCTTTTGCATAATCTGTAGATGTCCTTCATGTCTATGTGTCCGTTGATGGCTGATTTGTCAGAGTGCCAGGCTTCTGGCATTTTTGGGACTTGGCCTGGTCTAGGATGGTCACATTTTCCCAATTGAAACTCTGGTTATGTATCTATGTATATATATAGATTATATATTCTCTTTCCTTCCAGCCATCTGTAGAGCTGTTATGTACTTTTTCTCTTTTATGTTTTTCAACCATTTTTCCAGGTTCTTGTTCCATGCACGCGTACAGATGCAACATTCAGAGAGGAAAGGATTGTGATGGACTTATGAAACGTCAGAGGTACCAAGAGTGCCAAGAAATACTTATGAGTTTTGATTTCCATGCAAATTCAAATACAGCTCCCTTTCCCATCCCAGCAGATAAAAATCTGAGCTCTTACAAAAGAAGTTGCTACGTTATTAAATTTGGAATTCATCATCATCTGATTAGGGCACCGTTTCAAGAGAGAAAAAATAAATATTTCTGATATGTTTTTTTTAATTTTTATTTTAGAAGAACCCTCTTTTTTTTTAGGGACACCAGTGGGAAACAGACGTTGAGGAGGGCAGAGGGGGTGAAAATCTTTTTTTCCCCAAACATTTGAGGGGGGGCATTTGAGGGACACCCACACACAGAAATGCTGATTGGAGGGGCTAGGCAGGAAATGAAAAGAGGGAAGTGAAATGAGAGATAGGAAATGAAAAGGGATAGAAAGAAGAAAGAAGTGCCAACCGTAGGAGAGGCACACAGTTTTCAAAGATGGTACTCCAGGATACTCTGAACATCACCAAAGTCCCACCTGTTTCGAGTTTTGTAGAAGGAGAAAAGGCAAGTTTAAGACAAATCAGCTAAAGTGTCCCTTCGCATTTCTCTCATTTTATCCCCACCCCAAAAATGAGGGTTGAGCAAAACTAGAAAATGCATAAACAAGGTAGCTAGCCAGCTAAATAGAGATAGATAGATAGATAGATAGATAGATAGATAGATAGATAGATAGATAATAGGATAGATAGATAGATAGATAGATAGATAGATGATAGATAGATAGATAGATAGATAATAGGATAGATAGATAATAGGATAGATAGATAGATAGATAGATAGATAGATAGATAGATAGATAGATAGATAGATAATAGGATAGATAGATAGATAGATAGAGATAGATAAATAGACATAGATAGATAGATAGATAGATAGATAGATAGATAGATAGATAGATAATAGGATAGATAGATAATAGGATAGATAGATAGATAGATAGATAGATAGATAGATAGATAGATAGATAGATAGATAGATAGATAATAGGATAGATAGATAGATAGATAGAGATAGATAAATAGACATAGATAGATAGATAGATAGATAGATAGATAGATAGATAGATAGATAGATAGATAGATAGATATAGATAGAGATAGGTAGGTAGGTAGGCAGGCAGGCAGACCAGACAGACAGATAGATACCGTGTTTTCCCGAAAATAAGACCCTGTCTTATATTTTTTTTGAACCCTGGAATAAGCGCTTGGCCTTATTGCCATGTGCTCAAAAGCCCGATTGGGCATATTATCAGAGGATGTCTTATTTTGGGGGAAACAGGGTAGAGAGATAGAGATAGATAGATGATAGATAAATAGATAGATAGATAGATAGATAGATAGATAGATAGATAGATAGATAAAAACAGACGCAGACAGTCAGATAGCAATAGCCCTTAGACTTATACACCGCTTCACAGTGCTTTTACAGCCCTCTCTAAGCGGTTTACAGAGTCAGCCTTTTGCCCCCCAACAATCTGGGTCCTCATTTGACCCACCTCGGAAGGACAGAAGGTTGAGTCCACCTTGAGCCTGGTGAGATTCGAACTGCCAAATTGCAGGCACTGCGCCATCGAGGCTCCAAGATCGATGAAGGAAGGAAACGTTAGAAAGGAAGCGATGAAGAAAGGAAAGCGAGAAAGAAGGAAGAGAAAAAAAAAAAAGAAGGGCAAGCAAGGAAAAGAAGGGGAGGGGAGGAAGGAAGGAAAGGGAAAGAAGGAAAGAAGAAAGTGGAGAGCGGTGAGAAAAGAAAGGAAGGAAGGGAAGGAGAAGAAGAAGGAACAATCATAGGAAGGAAATGCTGAATGTTCAGCTCGGAGACAACTATTATTATTACTATACTTTTACTACTTGTTTTTCGAGTTTCTGGGCTACTTTGGTGGAAGAGCAATGCCTGAATAACTACTCACTGTAATTTGGGAAAGCATGTTCCACTGGGAAGCTGGAGGAGTGGGACAAATATTGACGTTGTGCAGGCAGTCCTCAACTTATAACCATTCATTTAGTGGCCCATTCAGAGCTACAGCACTGAAAAAAGTGACTTATGACCATTTTTCACATTTACGACCCTTACACAATCCCCCACGGTGATCAAAATTCAACTGGCAACTGACTCATATTTACGACCGTCGCAGGGCCCCAGGGTCACCCTACACCCCCCACCCCGCTTAGCAACTGTCTCGCTTAGCAACGGAAATGTGGTTGTACGTCAAGCAGAATCTGGAATATTTTGGTGAATTTGAAAAAAGAATCGGTGCCAAAATGCCCTGTCTCTGATGTTGCCTTTTTAAAAAAATTTTTCCTTCCTTCCCTCTGCCTTTCTTCGCAAATACGTTGCTTTTTGGATTCGCGTCTGTTCTTGGCAGGGCTGCCTGTTTGCAATCAATAGAAAAGGGGAATAAATCTGGAGCGTCCGTCTGACGATCGCTACGGCTACAAAAGCAGCGCGGAAAAATATTTTGCTCCTTGAATACCAATTGTAACCCTCAAACCTCTCGGTGGATGGAAATATGGGCACCGGCGTGAAATGATCGCCTGATTCTGGAGCTCGCCGCTTATTCGGAGCTGGGTGAGCCGGCTGAATAAATTTGTAAAAAAGAAAAAAAAATGAAAAAATGAATTGCACCTTTTATTTTATTTTATTTTTTTCTTCTGAACAAAGTTTCATGAACCTGCGCCCTTAAATTGAATTTCCCCTGGTTCTTGCAAGGGTTAGTTTTACGTGGTTTATGGATATCCCGTCTTGATTTGGGTTTTTTTGCAAATAATTCAGGTCGGCGAATAGATGGAACTCACCTTCCCCTTCCTGTTTTTCCCACAACGACAATGCTGTGAGGTGGGTTGGGGAGAGAGGGAGGGAGGGACGGAAAGAGAGAGAGAGAGAGAGAGAGAGAGAGAGAGAGAGAGAGAGAGAGAGAGAGGGAGAGAGGGAGGGAGGGAGAGAGACTGGCCCCACCCAGCTGGCCTTCATGGCTGAATTGGGACTAGAACTCCCATCTCCTGGTGATTGGTCCCAAGTCACCCAGCTGGCCTTCATGGCTGAATTGGGACTAGAACTCCCATCTCCTGGTGATTGGCCCCAAGTCAGTCAGATGGCCTTCATGGCTGAATTGGGACTGGAACTCCCATCTCCTGGTGATTGTTCGCAAGTCACCCTGCTGGCTTTCATGGCTGAATTGGGACTAGAACTCCCATCTCCTGGTGATTGGCCCTAAGTCACCCAGCTGGCTTTCATGTCTAAGACTGGACTAGAACTCCCATCTCCTGGTGACTAGGTCGAAGTCACCCAGCTGGCTTTCACGCCTGAAACCAGACTAGAACTCACATCTCCCACTTTCTAGTCTGGTGCCTTTAGACCAAACCGGCAGGGGCGAGAAAGGTTACAGCCTGCCTTTTTTAAAAAAATGTTGTTGTTATCGTTGTGGCCACTTTCGCACGTTTAAGGTAGACTGCCTTTGAATATGGCGTCTTTATTGTGCTGTGTGATAGCTGTTGAAAATACGAAACAAAAATTTCATTTTTTCCCCCCTTCACTGACATGAGGTCAAACTTACTCCAGCCACTGCTCCCGAAACTTCTCCAAACCCTCCCCCCCCCATTTCTACCTCTCTGTCTTTTTGTCTTTTTTCAAAATGTAAATACATATTTGTGTGTGTGTATGTTTTATAAATATAAAATCCACGGGTGTTGATGATTTAACAGGAGTGGCCCACAAACAGCAGAAGAGCAAAAGACGGAAACCAGAGCGCATATGCTTCCGAGCCTTTGGGGTGGGGGCAGAAAGCAGAAAAGCATCCCCCCCTCCTCATTTGGGAGGGAGATAAGTAGATTGACTGCAGTTGGGATTTATATCATAACCATCTGTGAGTTCTCTTTGTGGTTTGTTTGGGATTTTTTGATTTTTTTGCCTTCCCTCCTCCTCCTTCAAATGTCTTCACAGCTCTATTTTCAAGCGATTATTCCGCCTGGATAATAATAAAATATATCACTCTTATGGCGGGCTAGATTCTCTCTCCTAAATTCCAGAATAATTCGCTTTTGGTGGCGGTGAGAAGGTTCGCCAACCGAAGAGTCACTTTTATAACACACTGCAGTCCGACTGTAAAGCCAATTATTGCTGCCGGTTAAAAAACACACCAAGATTTGGGGGCTGGGGGGGGGGCTTTTTCCTTGCAGAAATAGTACGGCAAATATTTCTTGGAAAGTTTTATCTGTGTTTTTTTTTTTTTTTCATCCTTCCTGCGAAAGTGTCGTCTTGGAAGGATACGGTGCTGTAGGAAGTTAAAACCCTCTCCTAGAAAACGAAATATTTTAGGAAATATTAAAAGGGCAGAATATTTCCCCTAAAAGGCAGGCAGAAACTCAGCCCCCCCCTCCACCTTTGTTAATGGGCCATTAAGGCCTGGGCCAGTCTATCCTACATAACAAAAGATCTACCTCCTTCGGGCAGAGCCATTTAATTGCTCTTCACTGCATCACCCAACAAGATTCAACCAAACTTAGCACCCAGACAACCTACAAAGCAAGCCATGATCTTTCTATTCTATTCTATTCTATTCTATTCTATTCTATTCTATTCTATTCTGTTCTAGCCCCTTGTGTCGACCAGAGTTCTCGCAGCCGTGTCTGCTTTCAAATCGTTCGGTTTAGTCCAGTTTTCTTAAGCGTCGAAAGGCTTAAGTTGGGTTGCTGGGAAAGGGAACGGCAGAAAACAGAGGTCTAAGCCATTAAAGTCTTAAATCAGGGCTTTGCGTATAATCTACCCTTTTGGAAGCATAGACAGCTGCAACCTTAGCTGACCTTGGAGGGGACATATGCAGGCAGTCCTCAACTTATGACCGCCATGGAGCCCAACATTTCTGTGCTTAAGCGAGACACTTGTCAAGGGAGTTTTACCCGGCTTTACGACTGTCCTTCCCATCGCTATTAAGTGCATCACTGCGGTGGATAAATTTAGTCAGCCGGTTGTGAAGCGAATCGGGCTTCCCCGCATGCAAAGGGGCATCATGTGACACCCCCCCAGAACACCGCGACTGTCGTATGTATGAATCAGTTGCCAAGCGTCTCAATTTTGGATCGCGTGACCACAGGGGACGCTGCAACGGTCGTAAGTGTGAAAAAAAAGATCATAAGTCCCTTTTTTTTCATGGCCGTTGTAACTTCGAACAGAGACCAAATGAAGCGTTGTAAGTCAAGGACTCCCACTTTGACCAGCAGTGGGTTTCACATATTCTTATCACCAGTTCGCCCTGCGCGCACATGTGTGCTTTCCATGCATGTGCCTGGCCTCAGAAATGTGGCTAAATAGAATGGCATTACGCTCACCCTCAGTCGCCGCTACCAATTCGCCTGAACCGGCTGAATGCCACTTTTGACTTTGACCCTTAATTTTATCTCTCAATATTGGCACACGTTCAGACCTTTTGTCCTGGAGAATCACTTATCTATCCTCTCCTCTGTGTTTCTTGGCAACACAAACACAACACGCTGTGTAGGTATAACACAACAAGTCTTCTCATCTGCCCTACGTAATATTCCCGGGAACCTTCGTTCCATCTGTTGCCATTCAACGCAAGGCTTCCAACGTTTTCAGGTCTGCTGTTGGGGTAGCTTTCTTAAGATACGGGAATCGCTTGGCATCCATTCCAGGTTTTCCTAGAGAACGTGAAAATGAGACATTTTCTTTTGGGACGTCAGAAATCACATGGCAGGATTACTTCAGTGGAATGATTGATTTAGCAGCAGAATTATTACTAGAGTCAGTTGAAAGGGTGAGTTCTAGTCCTGCCTTAGGCATGAAAGCCAGCTGGGTGACTTTGAGCCGATCACCAGGAGATTGTGAGTTCTAGTTCTGCTTTAGGCATGGAAGCCAACTGGGTGACTTTGAGCCAATCACCAGGAGATTGTGAGTTCTAGTTCTGCTTTTGGCATGGAAGCCAGCTGGGTGACTTTGAGCCAATCACCAGGAGATTGTGAGTTCTAGTTCTGCCTCAGGCATGAAAGCCAGCTGGGTGACTTTGAGCCAAATCACCAGGTCACTGTGAGTTCTAGTCCTGCCTCAGGTATGAAAGCCAGTTGGGTGTCCTTCGACCAATCACCAGGTCACTGTGAGTTCTAGCCCTGCCTTAGGCATGAAAATGAGCTGGGTGACCGTGGACCAATCACCAGGAGACAGGGAGTTCTAGTTCTGCCTCAGGCATGAAAGCCAGCTGGGTGACTTTGAGCCAATCACCAGGTCACTGTGAGTTCTAGTCCTGCCTCAGGTATGAAAGCCAGTTGGGTGTCCTTGGACCAATCACCAGGAGACAGTGAGTTCTAGTCCTGCCTTAGGTGTGAAACCCAGTTGGGTGTCCTTCGACCAATCACCAGGTCACTGTGAGTTCTAGCCCTGCCTTATGCATGAAAGCCAGCTGGGTCAATTTGGACCAATTACTCTCTCTCTCTCTCATCTCAGCCCACCTCACAGGATTGTTGTTACGGGAAAAATAGGAGGAACAAGTTATGCTGGATATGTTCACCGCCTTTAATTATGTTTCAAAAACAATAAATAGACGAAAACTTGGTCTGGCATACATGCTATAAAATAATACGCTTAGGTGCCCATGTATTTCCTACCCAAGTTTCAATTTGCAGCTATTAATCATATTTGAAGCGTTCCTATAAAATTGTATTCCACCACTTTTCAACTCCTGCGCTGAATGCTTTGACAATCCAGAGGTCATAAATGTCTCCCAAATCAAAATATACTCATTCTCACCCCGAGAATCGAAAAAATGCTTGTAGGACTGAGGCGCCGTTGCATTTGAAGGTTTATTTTTCTTTGTGTAAGAATTTGCCACTGGAGCCAGTCACAAAAGAACCATTAGCCCGAAGGTAACCTTCGGAATATTCTCTTTTCTTTCGTTCTACCTTCAACCATTTCTCTTTCCATCCCACACTTCCTTTCATCGCAAGTGCACTTCTTATCCGAATCTATTGTCGTTATGCCCAACAACTATTACTCATGAATTGCATTGCAAAAATAAAAAGCTGCGTAAATTCCAATTCAGTGTTTGGCTCCCTTGCGTGAAAAGCATTCTCTTGTTCAGTTTCAAATCTCTACCATATGTAAAATGCATATGTTGTCCTCAACATAGGACCAAAATTGAGCCCAAAATTTCCGTTGCTTAAAGCGAGACAGTTTATTTATTTATTTATTTATTTATTAATTAAATTTTTATACCGCCCCCTCTCCCGAAGGACTCGGTTGTTAAGTGAGTCTTGCCCCATTTTACGACTCGTCTTGCCACAATTGTTATGTGAATCCAGCTTTCTACTCTGACTTTGCTTGTCAGGTCACAAAAGAGGATCACGCAACCCAATACCAGGCAGTTGCCAAGCCTCCGAATTTTGACCATATGACCACGGAGATGCTGCCGCGGTCGTGTGGATCACAAGTCACCTTTTTTCAGTGCCGTCATAACTTTGAACGGTCACTAAACGAATGGTCGTTAAGTCGAGGATTACCTGTACCACAAACTGTGTAGTTCCTTCCTTCTTTTAGTTCGCTCCAAACCTTTAGTGCCCAAGAAATATATAATTTCACTCTGCTGCCCTTTCTTTTTTTACGATGTTTCCCTCCTCTACTGTGGATTTTAAAAGCCGTTCTGGGACTTTTGAAAAATGAGCGTGATTAAGATGGTGTTATTTGTGCAGTTGCTGGAAGTCACTTGAATTTGTATGCATCTTCTTCTGGGAGCTGCCATGACCAAAAAAAAAAAGAAAAAAAAAAGGGTGTATTGTCTAAATCACTAAAATGGCAAGCAGAAACCCAGGCAGCAAAAGCAACTAAAGTTTCAAATGGCAAAAAATAAAAGGGCAAAATACAAATGTTACCAGTGAGACCAAAAAACAAGGGATCAAGGAATAACTTTATTTGACCGTAACCAAACAGAACACACCAGAAGTAACATCATTACTGGAAGAAATAACTATAAAATGTAACAATCAATGCTAGGATAAGATAAAACAAAGGTCAAAGCAAGAAAGCCAAACGGAGAAATGCAACTAAAGTGGCAAATTTCAGACAGAGCCAATAAAATAGGAAGTCCATTGAGAGAGCATTGAGCCAAAACAAGAAAAATTCGAGGTAGGGAAGGAAGGGAAGGAAGGAAAGAAAGAAAGAAAGAAGGGAAAGAAGAAAGAAAGAAAGAAAAAAAGAAGGAAGGAAGGAGAGAAAGAAGGAAAGAAAGAAAAAGAAGGAAAAAAAGGAAAGACAGAAAGAAAGAAAGAAAAAGGAAGAAGGAAAAAAAGGAAAGACAGAAAGAAATAGAGAAAAAGGAAGGAAGGAAGGAAGGAAGGAAGAAGGAAGGAAAGAAAAAGGAAGAAGGAAAAAAGGAAAGACAGAAAGAAAGAAAGAAAGAAAGAAAAAGGAAGGAAGGAAGGAAAGAGGGGAGAAAGAAAAAGAAAGAAAAAGGAAAGAGAGAAAGAAAAAAGAAAGAAGGAAAAAAGAAAGAAGGAAAGACAGAAAGAAGAAAAAAGGACAGAGAGAGAAAGAAAAAAGAAAAGAAAGAAATAAAGAAGGAAAAAAGAAAAAAGAAGGAAAAGAGAGAGAAAGAGAAAGAAAGTAAAAAGAAAAAAAAATAACAGAGAATAATTAAAGACAATTAATGCAGCTTAAAATTAAATTCAGCAAGTCAAAGACGGAAGCGAGGAGCTGTCCCGTTCAGCACCTGAAACCCCCCCTCCGCGCACTACATTTCCCGGCAGGCCCCGCGGTTGTGAGTGAGAGAGAGAGAGAGAGAGTGTCCTTCGCTTTGCTCCCAGGATGCTTTGCGACGGCCGCTTTCCTTCCAAGCGGGAACTCGCGGCCCGCGCTTCCGCCGGACGGACTACACTTCCCGGCGCTCCCGGCGGCCTGAGGGGAAAGGAGGGAGCCGTTTTTTTTTTGTTTCTCAAGATGGCGGACGGGGTGCTGAGCGCCGGCGTGAACCTGGAGGCCTTCGCCCAGGCCATAGCCGCCATCCAGGCGCTGCGCTCCAGCGTGACGCGGGTCTTCGACTGCCTCAAGGACGGCCAGCGGCACAAGGAGGCCGTGGAGGGCCGCGAGAAGGGCTTCCTCGCCAACTTCCAGGAGAGCCTCCATTCCGTCAGCCGGGATTTGGGGTGAGGGCGGGGCCGGGCCGGGCGGAGGCCACGCCCCTTCTTTCCTCTGGCGCCGCTAGCTCGCCTGGAGGGGCGTGGCCACGTAGGATAATCAGGGGAGGGAGGGCGTGGCTCGGGCTGCCTGGCCTGCTGCTTTAGTCCAGGATTGGGGACCACCTGGCCTATCATCATCCCCCTCCATCCATTGGCAAGGCATGGGATATAACTGGGACTTCCATGCTGCACTGCAGGGCAGGGCATGATGGTCCTCCTTTGGGGGTGGGAGGAGAGCAGGCTGGTCTGCCCATGGTAGAGCCTCCCCATCCAGTCGCAGCACAGGTAGTCCTCAACTTACGACCTCAGTGGAAAATTTCCGTTTCCCCCCAACAAGATGAGCTCTGGCCTCGCTTTACGGCCTTTCTCGCCGCCGTTGTTAAGTGAATCCCCGCGGTGGTTGAGCTAGTGACACGGTCGTGAAAGCGAATCTGGCTTCCCCATTGTCGGAAGGTTTGTTTTATTATGTTTTATTTGTTTTGTTTTATTTGATTTGTACACCGCCCTACTCCCGAAGGACTCAGGGCAGTGAACAGCCAAGCAATAAAATACATAAATACAAAAATTTAAAAAACCAGTTAAAATCAAATTAAATCATTTTGGCCCAGACAAATTAAAACACCCCAATAATTTAAGAACAGATTTAAAATTTATATATTAAAAGAGGGAGGAGATTAGGCCAAGTTTAGGGAGCTTCCTTAGAGATTAGGAAGGTTGCAAAAAAGGGGGTCGGCTGACACCCCCCCCCCCGTGGGACACTGCACGCCGTCATAAATACGAATCAGTTGCCAAGCATCTGAATTTTGATGGCGCGACCACGGGGGAGATGCTGCATTGGTCGTAAGTGTGAAAAACGGCCATACGTCGCTTTTTCCCCCCAGTGCCGTTGTAACTCCGAACGGTCCCTAAAGGAACGGTTGTAAGTCGAGGACTAGCTGTCTTGTGATTCCCGATGGCATTTGTACGTGTGGTGATTCAAAAAGATTCCAAACAGAGACCAAGAAACTCCTTGTTTTTGAAAAGGAGGCAAACAGAACACACCAGAAGGAACACAGAATGACCAGAAGAAATAACAATAAAATGAAACATTCCAGTGTTATGGTCAAGAAATAAAGAAAGCAAAAACAGAGAAAACGCAGCTAAAGTAGCCAATGCAGACACAGTAAATAAAATAGAAAAAAGGGCTTTGAGGTAGCATTGATGGATGGACGATGAATCATCAAATCAGAATCAAGTCTTAGCAACCATACAGCTAGATCTTCTCAGGAGGATCTCTCCCCATCCTGGTCCATGGATGGATGGATGGATGGATAGATGGATGGATAGCAATAGCCCTTAGACTTATATACCACTTCACAGTGTTTTACAGCCCTCTCTAAGCGGTTTATAGAGTCAACCTATTGCCCCCAACAATCTGGGTCCTCATTTGACCCACCTCAGAAGGATGGAAGGCTGAGTCAACCTTGACCCTGGTGAGATTCGATCTGCCAAAATGCTGGCAGCCGGTGATCAGCAGAAGTAGCCTGCAGTACTGCACTCTAACCACTGCGCCACTGAGGCTCTTGATGATGAATCGTCAAGTTAGAATCAAGTCTTAGCAACCATGTAGCTAGATCTTCTCAGGAGGATCTCCCCCCATCCTGGTCCATGGATGGATAGATGGAGGGAGGGTTGGTTGGTTGGATGGATGGACGGATGGATGGATAGATGGATGGATGATGAATCATCAAGTCAGAATCAAGTCTTAGCAGCCATGCAGCTAGATCTTCTCAGGAGGATCTCTCCCCATCCTGGTCCATGGATGGATAGATGGAGGGAGGGAGGGTTGGTTGGTTGGTTGGTTGGATGGATAGATGGAATGGATGGTGAATCATCAAGTCAGAATCAAGTCTTAGCAACCATGCAGCTAGATCTTCTCAGGAGGATCTCTCCCCATCCTGGTCCATGGATGGATAGATGGAGGGAGGGAGGGTTGGTTGGTTGGTTGGTTGGATGGATGGATGGATGACGAATCATCAAGTCAGAATCAAGTCTTAGCAACCATGCAGCTAGATCTTCTCAGGAGGATCTCTCCCCATCCTGGTCCTTCAGGCCTGTCAGTGCTGCTCCATCACTGCAATATGTCTGTGGAGATTCTCAGGTCATCCATCAGGTCATGGTTGTCCCAAAGGTGCTTTTTCAAGAGGCAACCGGACTTTCTGATTTTTCTTTGAGGCTCTTCTTCAGCTGATGAGAAGCGAAACGTCTTCGAAGAAAAACCAGAAAGCACAGTTGCCTCTTGAAAAAGCACCTTTGGGACATGACTGGTATCTACCTTGCTGTTGGTTGTCTTCCTTTCTTCTACTCTTTCCAGCATTATGGACTTGGCTAGCAATTATGGCTTGCCCAGGTAGAGATGGATGGATGGATGGTTAGTGGCTGGTTGGAGGATGGAAGGTTAGATGGACAGATCGCTCTATCTTCTATCCATCAATTAATTCATAGCAACCATGTAGCTAGAGATTTGTGGATGGATGGATGACCAGCTTCCAATAAACAAAAGGGGGAAGCTGGATTCGTTTAATGACCACATGATTCATTTAACAACTGCAGACGTTTGTTAAATTGGACGCGACCCATTGAACAATTCTCTTGCTTAGCAAAGGAAATTCCGATCCCCGTTGCCGTTGTAACTCAAGGAATACCTGTAGTTTGGTCTTTCTGTTTGATTTCAGCCCCGCGTTTTTCACCTCGAGAGTATGAAAGCGCAGACCGATTCTTTATTGCCGAGTTACACCCCGGATGAATTTATGGTGTCTCTCTGTGTAAAAATACGCTTTCTAACGCTGTTTTTCTCGTGATTTCTTTTCAGTGAGTTGGAACGCTTGAGTAACCTGGTGGGCAAGCCGTCCGAAAATCACCCCCTCCATAACAGCGGCCTCTTGAGTCTCGATCCTGTCCAAGACAAAACGCCCCTTTATAGTCAACTGCTCCAGGCCTACAAGTGGTCCAATAAGGTAAATCATCCATGACTTCATCCCTAAGGTGTTATTGTTAATTGTCACTGACATCCAGCAAACTGAAGGATATTTTGCCGTCGGCGTTACTACAGGGAAGAGAAAGGAAAGGGAAAAATGTCCTTTGCGAATGCCTGTCCTACTTTAATTTAATGACCCTTTTGGCTGTTTATATGCACAGGACAGTTGGTCCTTGACTTACGAGTAATTCTCTCAGCGACCAATAGGGCTGAAAACATGGGGGGAGGGGTTATCACCAGTCCTCGGAGTTCTGATCGCCCCAGCACCTCTGCGGTCATGTCGTCGTCATCTGGACACTTGGCAATGCGCCCTGTGATCATGTGATCACTGTGAGCGTTTCCTGCCGACTTCCCCAATGACTGTCATTGGGGAAGCCATAGGGAATGTCGCAAGTTACTGGGATAAGTTTGCCCCATATGCATACCTTTCTCCAGACCTTCGGATATGCTGTGCAGGTCCCTCACGCCCCTCCTCTTATGCAACCCCACCTATGCTACACAGCCTCATGCCTCCCCCCCCCCACCGCCTCTGCTGCACCCCTGGGCCCTCACCCCAACCTGCACAACTACACCCCCTCCCTGATCCATATCCTTGCACACTGTCCATGACCCCCACATCTCTCATGCCCCCCTCACACCTTTCCTTTCTGCAGAGGTTTTGGTTATGACGAGACGATTGGCTGGGTATGTGTAGAATGGGATTAATTAATTTATTGTTTATTTATTTATTGGTTCGATTTATATGCCACCCTTCTCTGGAGACTCAGGGTGGCTTACAATGCATTAAGCAGTAGCCTTCATACTTTTGTATATACCTGCTTAGTAGGGCTTTCGGCCCCCCCTAAGCGGTGTTCTTTTTTTATAAAAAGTCAGCTTATTGCCCCCACAATCCGGGTCCTCATTTTACCTACCTCGGAAGGATGGAAGGCTGAGTCAACCTTGAGCCTGGTGAGATTTGAACTTGCAGTAATTGCAGGCAGCTGGTGCTACTTAACAGCACTTTAGTCTGCTGCGCCACCAAGCTCCTTGGAATTTGAAATTGCCAGCGGTGTGTGATTTTAATCCCTTCCTTTCTTGCTTCTCAAATCTGAAAGGGAGAAGGGTTGGGACAGCCAAACAGCCAAGCTGAGAGTTACTGTAGATAAACAGGGAACAAGCCACACTCACTCGCCCTGATGGTATTACCTAGATGGGTCGTGAAACGTCCCAGCAACCAAAAGCTCAGAGAACACCAAAAAACTCCACTGTTTTAAACCGCCTCCTTGTGGCCGATGTGTCAGTAAACCAAACTAAACGGCGAGTCCCTTTGAAACCTAACCTTGGCCAGGAGACTTAAACGTGGTTTATTTATTTTAAATCCACCCTGACTTTGGGGACTGGCTAAAAGGCTCTCCCACGGTTTCAGAGCTTGCTTGGCAGATCCTCCTCGTTCTCTGAATTCCCTGAGATTTAAACGTACCTTCCTTGGCTGGCTTTGGGGTTTTGGCTGGGTTCACAATGCAGCGACATGATGCAGCACTTTTGAGCGGCTCGCCAGTTTGCGTCGCTCGGCGGTAGCCTCAGCAGCTGTTTTAAATAAGAGCATCTGGAATAATTGAGCAGCTTCTTTGACTCACACACACACACACACACACACACCTTCGTTTGGCTTTGCAGCCCGTGATCGCTGCCTGCGAAGAGCGCGTTGGGTAGAACGGAGAGCGGGGAAGTGCTTTCTGTATTTAATTTTTAATTTTCGAATCCTTTGCAGCCGGCTTCTTGTATTTTTGATGAGCTGAGGCAAGGCATTTTCGGCGCCTCCAGACTGGACCGACCTTCTGTTAACAATTTGTATTTTTAAACACACGGCTGGGATCCAGATTTGGGGTGGTGGTGACTAAGAGGGGCCACAAGAAAAGGGGGTCATTCTCTCAAGATTCCTTCCTTCCTTCCTTCCTTCCTTCCTTCCTTCCTTCCTTCCTTCTTTCCTTCCTTCCTTCCTTCCTTTCTTCCTCCCTTCCTTCTTTCCTTCCTTCCTTCCTTCCTTCCTTCCTTCCTTCCTTCCTTCCTTCCTTCTTTCTTTCCTTCCTTCCTCCCTTCCTTCCTCCCTCCCTCCCTCCCTCCCTCCCTCCCTCCTGGTACCGCAGTGGTTAGAATGCAGTATTGCAGGCTAATTCTGCCCACTGCCAGGAGTTCGATCCTGACTGGCTCCAGGTTGACTCAGCCTTCCATCCTTCCGAGGTGGGTAAAACGAGGGCCCAGATTATTGGGGGCAAGAGGCTGACACTGTAAACTGCTTAGAGAGGGCTGTAAAAGCACTGTAAAGCGGTATATAAGTCTTAAGTGCTATTGCTATTTCAGCCTTCCTGTCATTCATAAGAGATCTGGGGCGGCTCACTGACCCTCTAAAAATTACTTTTGCCTAGTAATACATTAAACAGTCTAATTATCATCCATCCATCTATCTATCTACCTACCTACCTACCCACCCATTCTGTCTGTCTGTCTGTCTGTCTGTCTGTCTGTCTATCTATCTATCTATCTATCTATCTATCTATCTATCTATCTATCTATCTATCTATCTCCATCCATCCATCCATCCATCCTATCTCTCTTCCTCTCTCCCTCTCTCTCTGTTTCTCTCTTAGCCAATGTCTCGCTTAACAACAGAAATTTTGGGCTCCATTGCAGTCATACGTCGAGGACTACCTGAAATGCTGCCTTCTGTACCCCATCATTTTTTTTTAAAGTCTAAGCCAGCTAAAGTTTCTTTTTTCCCCCCCTTCCCCCAGAATTTTAAGATGTAAAGGGATGGCGGATTCGTTTTGAATTCAAAAGAGGCCGTTTCTAAATGCCAGCCTGAGAAAAGTGAGGCTCTCTCCAACTTATAATTTAAGCCATAAATTAGCATTGTGGGTAACGCGTGGATTTTAAACCTGCCAATGCGCCTTAAATTTATATTTTCCCTGAAGCAACATATCCTGTTATTTGGGTTTCTCTGAAAGGCTTGGTAGACTCATAATAACAGACTTGGAGACTCTAAAGGTTGAAAAAAAATGATTATTATTTTGTTAGAAAATTCCGTTTATGAGGGGTCCTTCGTGCTTGGTTGTTTTCTTGTAGACATTTCATGACCCAGCTAGGGAACATCATCAGTGGTAGAAGGGAGTGGGTTTGTGGAGGAGGAGGAGGAGGAGGAGGAGGAGGAGGAAGAGGAGGAGGGGGGGATGATTGTGAGATCCTTAGTGCTCTCTGAGCTTGCTTGTTTTCTTACAAATATTTCATGACCCAACTAGGTAACATCATCAGTGTTAGAAGAGAGTGGGTTTGTGGTGGTGGTGGTGGTGGAGGAGGAGGAGGAGGAGGAGGAGGAGATTGTGAGATCCTTAGTGGTCTCCGAGCTTGCTTGTTTTCTTATAGACGTTTCATGACCCAACTAGGCAACATCATCAGTGCTAGTAAGGAGTGCAGTTTGCTGTCAGTTTATATTCTGGGGTCTGGGTGGGTTGGGGCACTTAAAGGTTCTTCAGCTGAGCTGTTTACTGATGGCTCTTTGGCAGTTTTCTTGATTTACTTGATTGTTGATCGGATGTTAACCTTGGAGTTAATCTACTCTGGTTGCTGGTGGAGAAGTGCTGGAGTCTTTTTTTTTCCTCCTTCTCTTTTGGGCTGGTTGATTGTCTCTTTTGCATAATCTGTAAACGACCTTCATGTCTATGTGTCCGTCGATGGCTGATTTGTCAGAGTGCCAGGCTTCTGGCATTTTGGGGACTCGGCCTGGCCTAGGATGGTCACATTTTCCCGATTGAAACTCTGGTTAAATCTCTCTCTGCGTTGTCAATCTGTATGTAATTCTGTGTATTCCCACGCACACCCCCTGAAAGGAGAAGGCAGCTTGGGTCTCCGGAGACGTCTCCATTGTCAAGCAATCCATTGTTAGCAAATCCGCCCGAATTGACTTCCTTGTTATTAAAACTCATTATTTCCCACCTGGCCGTCAAGAATTCCTGGATGGGTTCACAGCTTGGGTTGATTTAAGTCGGGTGTTGTCGTCCTAAGGACGTTTGGGGATGGGTAGAGGCAGTCCTTGACTTACGACCAGAGGTGGGATTCACGTAACCGTAGCAACCGGTTCGCCCAGTACCAGAAACGTGAGCGGACGTGCCCCGTCCGTGCATGCATGCAACATCACACAAAACACAGCAATTTGCTCTTCACGTCATTAAGTGAATCTGACTTCTCCCATTGACTTTGCTTGTCGGAAGCTGGCTGGGACAGTCGCAAGGCGATCACGTGACCTCGGGATGCTACAACTGTAACAAATCAGTCACTAAGCGCCCGAATTTTGATCCTAGGGATGCTGTGATGGTTGTAAGTGTGAGGACACTTTTTTCAACGCCGTTGTCACTTTGAACGGGCTCTCAACGGATGGTTGTAACAGCAGTTCGTTTAGTGACTGTTCAGAGTGACAACGACACTGAAAAATGTGACTTACGACCGGTCCTCACACTTACGACTGTCACAGCATCCTCACGGTTACATGATCAAAATTCAGACACTTGGCGACCAATTCATATTTACAACGTTCCGGGGTTACATGAGCCCCCTTTTTTTTTTTTTTGCGATCTTCGGACAAGCCAAGTCCACGGGAGAAAGCCAGATTTACTTAACAACCGTGTTCCTAACTTGACATGTTCAGGGATTCGCTTAACAACTCCGGCAAGAGAGGTCATTAAACGGGGCAAAGCTCACTCAGCAACAGAAATTTGCGGCTCAATGGTGGCGGTGAATCCAGGACTACCCGGATTGGCTTCGTGGGAATGTTTTTTTTCCCCCCGCTGGAAAAGTTCTCTTAACCCTAGGTGCGGTTTTAAAACGAGACGAGTGCGGGGCGGAAGGAAGAGAAACTTGGTGGGATGAAGACCCCGTTTTAGGATCCGTCGGTAAAGCAGGACAATCCCTGAGGGTGTGTCGTCGTCGTCTTCTTCTTTTTAATCTCTT